GTCCTCCTACAGCCCCACCGTCCTCCTACAGCCCCACCGTCCTCCTATAGCGCCCAGCATCCTCCTATAGCCCCACCGTCCTCCTATAGCGCCCACCATCCTCCTATAGCCCCACCGTCCTCCTATAGCGCCCAGCATCCTCCTATATCCTCCACCGTCCTCCTATAGTGCCCACCATCCTCCTACAGCCCCACTGTCCTCCTATGCCTCCACTCCCACTGCCTACGCCTGATTATAAACACTGCATCACTAGACGATGTAAGAGTCATGCTCCTGCTGCTTTGACTTGAGCATCAAATGAACGCTCAAAGCACAGGAAGACACAGTATATTCTATCTGATACTCAAAATGTTCTGCTCAAAAGAACAACTCAAAGGAGAACCTTTAATGAGATATATATTTTTTTTTTCATAATAAGTTCTAGACCAGCCATGAGACAATAAAATGTAGCAAGACCCTATCTCAAAAAAAAAAAAAAAAAAAAAAAAAAAAAAGAGCTTGAAAGGACTGGGTAAGGAAGAAAGTGGAAATGCACACAAGGTAGGTGTGTGTCTGTCTGTGGTGTCTGTCTGTGTTTATGTGTGTACGTGTGCGTGTTCAAGTATGGGATGGGATGGTGGGGAACAACAGAAGGAGGACAAAAAAAAAGAGAAAAAAAGCAGTCATCATTTTAGAACAAAGGGTAACAGGACTATCAAAAAACTTTGCTATCCTGATACAAGAAAGAAATTCTTAATGTCTAGCACTCTCTTTAAGGCTGCCCTAAAAGCTGTAACTCAAAGACAGATACTACTTCGGATGCTGTGATAGTTTGTATATGATTGGCCCAGAAAGTGGCACTATCTGGAGGTGTGGCCCTGTTGGAGCAGCTGTGGCCTTATTGGAGTAGGTATGTCACTGTGGGCGTGGGCTTAAGACCCTCACCCTAGCTGCCTGGAAGTTAGTCTTCCACAAGCAGCCTTCAGATAAAAATGTAGAACTCTCAGCTCCTCCTGCACCATGCCTGCCTGGATGCTGCCATGCTCCCACCTTGATGATAATGGACTGAACCTCTGAACCTGTAGGCCAGCCCCAACTAAATGCTGTCCTTATATGAGTTGCCTTGGTCATGGTGTCTATTCACAGCAGTAAGACAGATGCTGTGAACCACAGGATGACTATGCAGTCAAAAAGGGTTAAAGCATTGAATGGAGGAGAGATGTGAAAAGAACAGACAGACAGACAGACACAGGTCACCTCCTGGGCCTGAGAGTCTATAACAGGTGACCACACTGTGCACCTAAGCTAATTAACAACAAAATGTGTGAGCTAGAATAAAGTCTTAGTTATGTAATGCTTTTACACCAATCAAAGCTTATTACTTTCTGTCTCCTACAGAAGCACTCAACGATGCTCAGTAAGCATTACTGACAGGGATATAGCTCAGTGATAGGGGCTTGACTAGCATTTTAAGTCACTTTATTTAATCCTCAGCACCCCTCAAAAAGAGAGGAGGGGGTATCTGAGTGAACTGTTTAATGTACAACCCACACAATGTATGAAGGATTGCCTTAAGAAAGGCTGAAGGAGCCTGGGATTAGGGCACTAAAACAGCACCATAAACAAGTATAGCTTCAGTCTTTTACTGTTACTGTTACTCTTACTGCTCAGTGTCTTACTGTTACAGTTTCCCACCTCATGTAACTGCACCTTGATAGTTTCCTCAGTTTTAAATAAGGGTAAGACTATTCATTTCAATTGATTTCTCATAGGATCAAGTGATATAATAAAAATGAAATACCCAGATTTACTCTTTTACTCTTGGTTTAAAGGTTACACATACTTTTAGTCTACAGCATTTACATATATACATATGCATAACTATAAATAGCTGGGTATGGTGGCACATGTCTTTAATCTCAGCACTCAGGAGGCAGAGGAAGGTGGACTTCTGTGAGTTCAAAGTCTACATAGTACATTCTAGAACAGCCAGAGCTACATAGTGAGACATTGTCTCAAAAACAAACAAAATTAATACTTTTTCAACTGAGTACATTTACCCAAATTGTTATTAAAAATTGAAATTGTGAGCCAGTACCAACTGCTATTTTACCTGTGGCACGCATGAAGAGCTTGTGTGCCTGACTCTCATATCCTCGTGATGTGTGGAGTGCAACCCAGTCTGGGTTTATAAACTTTGCCCTGCAAATCAAACATACAAATGCACTTTATTCCTCTCAGGTTTAGTAATTAGGGCATCTGAGTACGCAGCACTTTGAGAATTATCTGTTGTTGTTAATAGGGTCAAAACTGAAGCTTTATTTAATCAGGTAAATTCACTGAGACTACAGACTAGTAGCTCCTCTGCTCCTCTGCCAGGACAATCATGTAATATGCAGATGTCTGACCCTCACCATCCTAGTATAAAAAACAATCGGACATCACATTTCATTATTAAAAACATTCTCTTCAGCTATCATAACAATGCCTTTAAGAAACATATTCCTCATGAATTGTATGTAAAACTCAGCCGTTCTCATTGGCAAATGAAGCTTTTCAGTCACATATAACACTACAAAGTACACTACAAAGTAAAACTAATCACCATGAAGTTTAGGTGCTTTACTTTCAACCCATGAAAATTTACTTTACAAAGCATAAAACAGTTAAAAGTTGAGATAATAAATCATGACAAAGTAAAGAACTTACTCAAATTTTTGCTGACACACTTCAAGTCTAAGAGAAACTATGCTACAGAGATGAACAGGGTCCCACCAAACACAAGTCCTCATCTATGAACTACTTCATTTAAAACAAAAGAAGAGAGGGGAGCGCCACTCCTAAGTCACTAACTTGTAAGTTTCTAACTTGGCAGAGCAGTTAAGGCTATCTGGACCTACAGCTTTCATTTATTTGTTACTCCAGAAAAATGAAAGCTATCTTACATTAGGCACTGCTCAGCTGCCAATGTGCAGTTGGTAACATCTCTACTCCAAAACACATGTAAGCCTTGCATTCCTTCTAGCACACAAAAGCTACAGAAATATCCAAATTCTGAAAGTGGTTCTTAAGCTTGTAAGACAATTGGAGTTACAAACAATAACTCTAATAAGTCATATCACACTGTGTCCAAGAGCATAAATATTCAGTTATATTAAAAAAGAAGAACTCACACATATGCACATAAGAGACTATGATAGGCCGTAAGAGGTGGGTAATCCAATCCCCAGTACTGTAAATTGTTATCACTACTGTTAAAATACCTGGAAAATAAAAGGTACCATTATCAATATTCAAGACACAATTTAACATCTCATCCCATTTAATTAAAATTAAGCTTAATGGTTAACTAATTAAGACATTAATAATAGCCCTATTACATTAAATACAATCAGGGATGCCCCAGGTCCCTGGGACTTATTGTCACTCTATTCTTAGTAGACTTTAGTATATCAATTATATTGATATGACAAAATATATCCAACAAGACAATTTGTGTCTGATACTGTTAACAATTTAGAAAAACAGCACTTTTAATGCATAATCTTAAAAAATTGAAGGCCAATTTCAAAGAACACATGAAGATATGACTCATGGAAAGAGAAGACTTCATGGATAAGCAGGCTTGATCAAGACTTTGAAAATAATTCAGCTAGCATATGTAACTCAGTCCTACTATATAAAACAATCTGTGAACCAATGGGGAAAACCTGGTCGAGAGTCTCTAAAGGTGCTTGGTTCCTCTAGGTAAAGATGTAAAGGAATTATAAATAAAATCACTGTGCCTCTAAGAGGAAAATTAAGTTTATATGAATATATTTCTTAGTTGTGTCCTTTGTAGCTAAACAACTTCTTCCATCCACTTTACTCTCAGCCACAGGAGCAATTTACGATAATGCAGACTGCAGTGGTTTGAATATGGAATGGCACTATTTGGAAGTATAGCCTTGGAGTAGATATGTCACTGTGGGAGTGGGCTTTAAGATCCTCTTCCTAGCTGTCTGGAAGCCAGTCTTTTCTTGTTTGCCTTTGGATGAAGATGTAGAACTCTCAGTTCCTGCTGCACTGTGCCTGCCTGCATGCTGCCATGCTCTTGCCTTGATGATAATGGATTGGACCTCTGAATCTGTAAGCCAGCCCCAATTAAATGTTGTCCTTATAAGAGTTGCCTTGGTCATGGTGTCTGTTCACAGCAGTAAAACCCAAACTAAGACAGAAGTTGATACCAAGAGTGGAGTATTTTGTGATAGGCCTGACCATGCATGCTTTTGTTTGAAAGAATGTGGATTTTGGGACTTTGGATTTGGAAAGCTGTAGAATGTTTAAATGGGGCTTAATGAGCTACACTAGTAGGAATATGGAAGACTTTGTTGCTCTGAGTGATTTCAATTGTGCAGACCTGGCCCAAGAGGTTTCAGGGGAGAATTTCAATATGTGGCCTAGAAACTGTTTTTGTGTTATTTTGGTGAAGAATGTGGCTAGTTTTTGCCCCTATCTGAAGAGTCTGCCTGAGGCTAAGGTGAAGAGACTCAGATTAATTGCTTTGACAAAGGAAGTCTCAGAAACACCATCTAGACTTTGTTCTCTGATTAAGTCTCATGTAGAGCATTTTAAACAAGTATAGCAAGCTGAGAAAGGAAAAATATAAAATATATGGTTGGAGTATTAAAGGGGCACCAGGAAGTAAAATGGAGCTGAATCCTGTTTTTAAGGACATTAAATTGAATTAAGGGATCTTAGGGCAAGATCCCATCCAGCTAAGTTTAGGTCAAGGCATGGTAGCACAAGCCTTTAATCCCAGGAGACAAAGACAAGCAGATCTGAGTGCCAGGACCCACACTAGATGCATCGTACTCAGAGATAGCCAAAGGGGCAGAAGTAAAGTTTTCAGTTGAAAACAAATTAAAAGTTCCCTTTTATTCTACCTCATCTCCACACATATAGCCAGTTATTATTGCCAAGATCTTGCTGTTTTTACCTAGAGTTGATGTCTTAATAAGCTTTAGAGAAAAAAGTACAGATTAGGAAACAGGGCAAAAAATACTGTCCACTCATAATGCTGCTTTTAGTTTGTATCCATTCAGAGGGATTTCCAAGATAAAGTGTTCTTGTATCAGCCTTGTAGTTTAGGGCTGGGCAAGATGTCTCCACAGGTAAAAGTGCTTGTACAAATCCTGACAACAGATGCCTGGAACCTACATAAATGTGGAAGGAGAAGACCAACGCCACAGAGCTGTTCTCTGACCACCACAGACACGCTGTGGCATGGGTCCACCCCCATATTGTCACATATGGTAAGAATAAATAAAATTTAAAGATGTTTAAAAATTAGAAGTTTTAGATTAATAGCAAAATCTAGCTAACTGGGTGTGCATATGGATAATTTTCAGGACTGTGAAACTTCAAAGATGAGATTCAATATGCAAAAGATGAAGAAAGTGGTGTCTGAGGAACACCATATGAAGTAACACCGTCATATAACCTATATTAACTATAATAAACAATAAAACAAAGCCACAATTATCTATACCATTGTTTGACTGGTAAATTCAGGGTAATTTCTTGCCAGTGTCTCTGAGCTTCATAATCACCAAACATAGGTGGTTTTCCAGCACCTAGAATGAAAAGCAAAAAGAGAATAATAATGAACTTATAGCACACTGTGTGGGATTTTTTTTCCTTATAAAATCGTCCTATATTACAGGGACAACCGGAGCTAAAGAAGGAATGCAGGAGTTACCAAGGTCAGAGATGAGGCCTGAACCCAGGACTTCAAGTCACCAAGTGACCACATGATGGGCAAGTTCCTTATCCTCCCTAAGCTCAAGAGCCACATAGCCTACTGAGAACTGCTAAAGCAAACACCAGAGAGGTGAATACCCAGTACAGAGCCCAGCAGAGCAGACACTCAGGAAGGGCCACTGTAGCACCACTCAGTTTATTAGTAGCACAGGATAGGCATGATTGGTTTTTTGGTTTTGTTTTTTTTTTTTTTTCAATTTTATTTGCTAGCATACCTTTAATCTCAGCACTGGGGAGGCGGAAGCTAGATGATCTTTATGAATTCAAAGCCATCCTGGTCTACATAGTGAGTTACAGAACAAGCAGGAATACATAGTGAGACTCTGTAATAAATAAACAAACAAACAAACAAACATGTGCACGCATACGTGCATGCACACACGTAAATCACACACTCACAAAATCCAACAATAGCGTGTCTGTGTGTGT